ATTTGCTTGTTAAATCAACAAAATTCTTTGTACTACAAAGGAATCCCAAGAAATGTTTACAAATATCATATCTAAATATTTTTAACTTTTTCACGACTTAAGAACTAAAAACAAACAAATTTTCCTTGAGAAATAGAATCTGATACCTTTCAATAAAAAATGCGATTTTAGTGCTTTTTTGTGTGTAAATACGAGCCAGCAATTTTGACCGTTGACCATTTTTTTCTCCCCTTAAAATCTCCCTACACGGTTAGATTGTGGGTTAGATTCTCGACTCGATCGCTTCTAAGCAATTCTTTTTTTTCCCTTCTTTTTTTTACTGAAATATACTTTCTTATTTTTCTGTACAGTAAATATTTGTTTACAATTTTACACGCAAGATCATACTTGAATAGCGGCGTTGAACTGACGATCTCGGGTTCGATTCTCGACTCTTTCTTTAACTTTAAAATATACTCGTTCTTTTTTTCTAAAATCATGTTATGCAAATCAAACTTTTATCTTATAAATTCTGTGAGGATAATGCGAATGCAATCTGAATGCTAAATTTTCGCTGCAATGATAAAAATATTCAAAAAATGATGTGAAAAGGTCATACGCAAAATCTATCAAATCGATCGCGGCACAGGTAAAAGCGTAGGTATTAGCGTAACCAGGACACGCTATGTTCCACGAAGTGGTTCTTGTTTTAGGTAGAAAATACCAACTTTTCCGAACTTTTCAAACAATTTTGCTTGAATATCGCCAGAGTTTGATTACAATGGATGCTAACTGCACAATAAGACGAATGTTGAGAAGCACACGAGTCGATTGACAAAAGGTTGTCGTCTACCGGGTTCACAAAACGCGACTAGCCCGAACTGGTTTCTGGGTAAAATCAATGAGCTGGCAAATTASAGATTTGAACGCCTTTGGATAACAAAGAAACTGTCCTCGGATTTCGCTGATGTCGTTGAGATACACGGGTTTTCGTAGTGAAAGAATCCTCTAAAATGAAATATCAAGAAATATTAACTTGGGTTCTCGATAAGCACGG